GGATGGATGGATGGATGCATGTATGTACTCCCTCCGTCCGAAAATGTTCTTCTTATTTGACTTTTCACGGTCGTCTCCAATATTGCACTTTGACCATTAATATCTATATTTATACATAGATATATTTTATAAAAATTTTATATTTGAAAACTACGTTTCATTATGAATATATTGATATTAAATTTACATCATAATACAATGTGTTTTTTCCACAAATTGTAGTCAAAGTTTATAAACTTTGACCAAGAAAAGTCAAATGTGAAGAGGATTTCCGGGCAGAGGGAGTATGTGTGTTGTGTGTGTGTGTGTGTGTGTGTAATACGGAGTATGATATAGCTAAATATATGTACCTTACCTATATCTGGAAATACGTAATAGCCCGTGGGGTCCCGACTCCCGAGAACTTGTATGTCTCCCAATATTTATGGCAAGTCATATCTTGCCAGTTCGTTATCACCCAATCAATCAGAATGCCATCTTTTATATCGTTTCTTTAGGCTGTGTTATGGTTGTTTAGAATATTTTAAATGACCTTTTGATTTTGATGAGAATGAGCTATCCAGTCGGTTTGCTTGCGTGTGTTCAATTTCTCATTTAACAATGTGCTATCAAGGCTAGTGAACTTATTTGGCGAATGGAAGAGAGAATAGGAAGATGTTGAACTTATTTAAAACAATATACTCCACAGAAGTTACTGTGATCTTCAATGTGAATTCCTTACTCATGCTCTGAACAATCGTGCAGCTCATATTGTTACTATGTTTCATTGAGTATTTTATACCCGTATTTTAACATGCTGGGGTTTCAGGTTTGACTGTCCAGGCTAACATGTATTACAAGATGCTCATTAACTGGACCAGCCAAAAGGTGAAAAGCACATCCACCATATGCAATGCATTTGATTTTAAAAATGGTAGTACTTTCTAAACTAATTGGAGTTCTAGTAAAGCTAGGAATTTAGCTTCAGATGCGTATTTTGTTTGAATGCTTTAAAGTTAGATGAAGTAAAACATGTGGTTTATAAAGCATTTACCAATTTGTTATTCTTCTAAGCTTTTAATTTATAGTATGCAGTTTTGATCGGTCGCTCATTAATGCTTCTGGGCCTTGTGTACTCTTTGCTACTCCGGGAATGATAAGTGGAGGGTTTTCTCTTGAAGTTTTTAAGCAGTGGGCTCCGTGTGAAGATAACCTCATTACACTTCCTGGGTAAGTTCAAACCATTTATTGATTTTCACAACTTTAATTTTTACTTCAAGAGAATGCAACTGTCTTATTGTTTTTATGCAAGTAAGAAATCTATGAAGACGGTTTCGTAATTTCATCTCATTATACCATCTTTAAAGGGTTGTGACCGTAAAGGCATCTGGCCCAAAACTCTGTCTATGTACTTATTGCATGAGCTTATTGTAATGTTAAATACTCATAATCAATCAATTTGCAGAGCAAGTTTCAATAGTTTTGATTTAGGCGTTGATCATGATGTTGATGATATGATCTATCTTTCAGCCTTAACCTCCACCAGGCTTGGACTATTGACCTTTTACTCCACCATTCGCAAATACTTTGTAGTAGTCATTTTTTGGATGTTTCAAACCACCGACCCAAATTTCATTAAATTTTAAACGTAAAAGTATCGCTTCCCTCACTCACTTAGCACATTGTGACAATCCTTCCCGACTTCTCTCTCTCTCTCTCTCTCTCTCTCTCTCGTCAAAGCCCATCTTCCAGGATCGGTTCTTCTGGAATCAATTCTTCTTCATCATCCTCCATGGGTAGGTTCTCTTTATCTTTAACTTCTTTTTGTGCTTCCTATCTTTGTTGGTACTTGGGGTGTTGTTTTTGAAGATTGAAGGGTATTAGTTTCTTATGTACCCTTCGTTACGTGACTTTATGTGCTACCTTTAAACATAATTTTGTTTTGGTAATGATATTTTGTCATATAAATATATAGTTATCTTTGGTCAAGGAAGATATATGTCATGTCAAAAATTTCAACCCGTTGGTTGCCATGACATTGAGAATCAATGTCATGGGATTACCTGGGGACTGGGGTCCCTAGGGTGCTTCATTTGAAAATTTGATGGTTCTTACCCCTCAGTTAACCCCCCAACCCCCCACCCAGGCCCGACCCAAACCTACCCCCCTCCCCCATCAAATGTACCCCACAAGCTTTAGTTGACTTTGGAGTCAAATTTGGACACCAAAGTCAACTAAATCTCGTGGGGTGCAATTAACGAGGGTGGGGGTAGGTTCATGTCAGGCCTGGGTGGGGGGTTTACCCGGAGGATCAGGGGAGTAGGAATCATCAATTGTACCTTAGGGACCCCAAACGGGGCCTATGTCATAGGATGACATGGGGGGCTAATGTCATGGGGACAACCCCAAATTGCAATACTAATTGTGATTTGTCGACTAGCTATGACTAGTCCACTAGCCTTCTCTTCACCTACTCGACTTGTCTCCTTGATAACCATGCAAATGACTCATAATTTGAAAGCTCTAAAATGTTGTGATAAAAGTGTAAAAGATTTCTATGTCCTTGTTTGAAGTTGTTAATTGGGCCTAACTCTGTCACAAAAAGATCCTCAAGACACAAGAGGTGGAGATTTGCCAAACTTTATAAACTAGTTTATGGTCCTATAACCCATCAATGTGTGGAACTTAATACACATCCCTCAGCCCAAACATGGCTCGAAAACGATCAGGTGGACCCCAAACCGTGGATCAAATGGGCGGGTCTCAAACCGTGGTGTGGAATCAACAAATGGTTAAGCTTTGAGACCTTGCTAATTGGACCCAACTTCACTCCAAAAGGATTCTTAAGGGGTGGGGTCTGACAAACTTTATAATATTATGGTCCCAGGTTGGTTTGAAAAGGGGGTGTGAAATGACTTGGTCAATAGTTTGTATGATTACCAGCAAATGAAGGTGGATGCTTTGATTATATCTGGACAAGAAGATGGATACTCTCCATTGTCATGGTTGGTTTGAAAAAGAAACAAGGGTCAATGTAATTGCTAACATGCCATTAGAAGGTAGCCTCTCACTGCCCTAATAGCCCATCTGTGACACTTATTCCTCTGTGTGTCTTCTTTATGGCTATTATTTCAAGAATCAGCTGTGAATGCTTACTGATATCAGAGAAGAATGGCCTAATTGAGAATAAGTTATCATTCTTTCTAACAGTTTCTAAATGTATAATTTATACACGAGATTTTGACTAGAGTCTAGAATAAATTTCACTTTGTTAACTACAATGTATAATTGATCATTGATGGCTTGGCTTCAATTATCCTAGACACACAGGGTACTTGAAAGAGATTTCTTCTTTTCAACTGTTTTGTGCTTGCCGAAGGGCTCAAGTGCACTCATTTTTTATTTGCAATTATTTTTATAGTTCACTTACAGTATGATGCATGTGTTCATGAATATGTATTTGTAGGGTCATGGTGTGCCATGGTTAGTTTTTTTAGTACACAAATTCTGTGATTAAAATCTTCATTGCTTGTGACTAGTCGATATCTTGTGCCTGCCATTTGATTCAATGCTTTTAATTTTCTTAAAAATCTCTTCTTTTTTATCAGATATTGTGTAGCCGGAACCATAGGGCATCAACTAATGTCAGCTAAAATACCCACCAGAATTGGTATGGAAGGAGGGACCTATGTTGATGTTCGCTGTCAGGTTCTAAAGTCGATTCATTTCCATTCACTTCTCGTTTTTCTTTTAGCAACATATTTCAAAAACTATATATTATGCTTAAACAAATTTATATGTATACTTCATTCATCTCTAATCTTTCTTTAACTAATTGATCATTATCATGCATTTACTAGATCCATCAGCTGTCGTTCAGCCCACATACTGATGCCAAGGGAATTATGGATTTAGTGAGATTTCTTTCCCCCAAACATGTCATACTTGTACATGGAGAAAAACCAAAGATGGCTTTACTAAAGGATAGGATTCAATCCGAATTGCAAATCCAGTGTTATGATCCTGCAAATAATGAAACAGTGTGTGTCCCTACTACTCACTGCATACAAGTGGATGCAACAGATGCCTTTCTCAAAAGTGTCTTAACCCCAAATTTCAAGTTTCTAAACACAAGTTCATCAACGCCTTCCGGTCCAAATAATACCGACACGAGACCCAATCCCCTGTTGCAAGTATGCGATGATAGGGTTGGTCAAGGGGTACTAGTTATCCGATCCAACCAGAAACCGACCGTTGTGCATGAGAGTGAAGTGAGGGCAATGCTTGTAGCCGAAACCCATGAAGTGAGATTCGGTTACTGTTTTCCCATACGCGTGCGTTCATCTCATGATGCTGCCATCAACTACTGTGGCGAACAACAAAATCAGGGATTCAAGCAGAGTTGGCTCCAGTTATTGTATGCAGAGTTGTCAAGAGGACTCAAAGATTTTGTTGTTCTGAACAATGGGGATGATCTTCGAGTAGAATCATTTGTGGTCATCGTTTGTTCGAAAGAAAAATGCCCAAACAGGTTTGCACAGAGCTCAGCCAAGGTGGTACATTTCTGCTGCACTTGGTCACTGGTAGATGAGAAGCTTGCTTGGAGAATCATCTCAGTCATGAAGAATTTGGAGCTGTAAGTCTGTAAATGAGTCCATTTTAGTCGAATTTTTTCTCCCTCTTAAAAAAAGATTCGTGTTTGAAAGTTAATGTCCAAAAAGCTCATATTCTAACAAGAGCATGACTGGTCTTGAGAACCAGCCCAATTTTTCCTTGAAAAAAAAGTCATGAAGATTATTGCAGTTTGTTTTTATAATTTTCAGCTATTTGTACTGAATAATTATTCTGTTGACTTTTTGTGTGATTATTGTTATTTGTTTGAGTTTATTTATTACTCCTAATAATATATCTTTATTTTCATTTTTTTTCCTTTCCTTTCCATAAAAGGAAAGTAAATGAGAAGTTAAAAGTCTTATTTGCCCTTGAACATAAGTCTCTTCTCTTCTTCCACTTTTTTCTCTCTCTCACACTCAAATCACCTCTCCTTGCTATCATAGTTTCTTCTTAATCTATCATCTAAAACCCAAATCCTAAATTTACTTGTGGAATAATAAAATATATGAACCCAAACTGAAAATTTAAAAATCCGAACTCGATTCGAAAAAATTAACCCGAATCCAACACTAGTCAGGTTTGGATTTGAGATTTTACCCGACCTAATTATTTAAAACTAAAAAATTCTATGCATGCCTCTACACAGTACTACATATAATTTAATATATTATACTCGTATATATATATATTCTTCCATTTCTCCACTTCTCGTACTTTTCTAACACTCAGTTGCATCTCTCTTTCCTTCTCACATCTCACTACTTCCTTACCGATCATTTATTTACCTTGTCTATCTTGTTAATAATGACTTTTCGTATAACGTGTTTTATGTTTTCCTCTACGGAGTACTGCAAATAATATAATATATTCTCTCATTTTTGTACATTGTAGAAAATTAATGTGTCAAAATTTGATCGGGTTTGAGTTAGATGTTATTTTTATATAAAAGCGTGATTAAAATTTTGTTATTGGTTAAAAGTCGGGTTCGGGTTTAAAAGTCAGATTCGGGTCGGTTTGAGTCTCAAGTTTTAAAGTCATGTACTCATATTCGAGTTTTGGGTTAAAAAGTTGTGTCGGGTTTGGATATACGTAGTAGTATTTTCCGACTCAAACCCGACCCGTTGCCATCTCTAGTCACCTTATAAAATTGGGTCGGGTTCGGATATAGTACGAGGTTGCTAATGAATCATCCAACCAATTAAACTTGTCGCACATCTAATTTAACATCACTTTCAAGTTTTAACCTACGTCCCAAAACGATTTGTATTTTTGCTATTACGGTCTTTAAATAATTTTTGTTTATTTTCATTTTTCATTGATCATTTGATAAAATAAAATATTTTTGTCACCTATTGTTTTATAAATTTTTTGATGAAATTTTTAAATATATATACTTATTTTTATTATTTACTACGTATATACTAATTTATAAATGAGGTTATTTTTTAAAACCTTTTGAGCCAGGAGTATTATTTATCTATACATTATTTAAAAAGACATGATTTTTTTCCCGCCCATGTATAACACTCATATATGGAAAGTGTTGACAACATAAATGGTAGTTTAATTATTTTACCTTAATGTTTTCCTTCCATTTTAAGTATGTTTTCATTTTTATTTTTATTTAAATGTTACACAATTTAAGCAATTAAATTAAATAGTAGTGAACCATTAGGGAATTGAAGTATGAAAATAAAATACACTGCCATTTAAATATTAAAATAAAATTTAAAAATTACAAATTAATAAAGTATGGGCAGGATTAAAATGATTTATTTAAAACAAACTACAAATTAATTATTTATCATTAAAAAAATATTATAATTTACAAGTACAAATGCATAAAAATGGTAAGTTTTCTAAAATAGATTAGAAAATAAATATGGTACGGTAAGTAGATGATAACATTTAAATAAAAGAATAAAATAAAAAACTACAAATTAATATTAATACTATAATTTAAAAGAATGGAAACGTTTTAAAAATGACAAATGTTCTAATTAGAAAATAAATAGATATGGTATGGTAAGCAATTAGCACCATTTAAAAACGAAAATAAAATAAATGGTAAGTTTTCTAAAAGAAATTAGGTCAGTGTTCTAAAATAAAAGAGAAAATAAAATACTCCATCCGTCCCCAATTTGATTACAAATTGCGGGTTACGGAGTAAAATTTCTTACTTTTTGAAATTATTTTATTTACAAATTGATATATGAATAAGATATAAAAATTACATATTAAACAACTACGTCAAAAGTTCTACAAAACAAAAAGTGATAAGATTATTTTATTTTATCAAATACTTAATGAAATCGCGTAAACAAACAAAAGTTATCGAGAAGAGAGAAAAAAATGGTAATCTATTTAGGGACAGAGAGTACATCTAAAAATGATAAGTGTTCTAAAATTAATTAGAAAATAATGTGGTTTGGTAAGTAATTAGTATGATTTAAATACGGAAATAAAAAAACTGTAAAATTAATATTAATACTATACTTTAAAAACATGATTTTTTTAAAAAAGGTAAGTGTTCAAATTAGAAAATTAGAAAATAAATACGAAATGGTATGTCAACACGATAAACAAATAGTACCATCTAAACACAAAATAAAATAAATGGTAAGTGTTCTAAAATAAATTAGGTAAGTGTTCTAAATAAATTAGAAAATAAAATAATTATTAAAACGATAAGTATTCTAAAATATATTAGAAAATAAATACGGTACAGTAAGTAAATGATACCATTTAAATAAAAAATAAAATAGAAAACTAAAAAATAATACTATCAATTAATACTACTCCCTCCGTCCTAAAATTAACTTCCCATTTGACTTTTCACGGTCTCCAATGCGACACTTTGACTATCAATATCTCAATTTTTATATAAATATATTTTATAAAAATTATATATTTCAAAACTATGTTTCAAAATGAATCTATTTCTAATAAATTTATATGAAAATTATATATTTGTTTATTTTCATGTTTTCATTGATCATTTGATAAAATAAAATATTTTTGTCACCTTTTATTTTATAAATTTCTTGACGAAATTTTTAAATATGTATACTTATTTTTATTATTTACTACGTATATAGTAATTTATAAATGAGGTTATTTTTTAAAACCTTTTGAGCCAGGAGTATTATTTATAAATAAAAAAAATACTCTTTGAAAAATTCGTCCACCGTGAAATCAATCGTCCTGGTTCATCATCAATCATCATCACACTTCACAGTGGCCTGTGCGAGCTGATAGATGGAGAATGCCATACGACTCCCAATAATTTTGCCCTAATTAACACGACAACATTCTCCCCCTCCCCAAATTCGTACGCCGCGGTTCTCTCAATCGCCGCCATGGGTCAAATTCTCGCCAAATACCAAGGTACCATTACTTCAGGCGTTTTGATTTCAGATTGCATTTTTTATTTCTCTGCACTTCTCAAAGTCTCCGATTCAGTTCAGTACATTTCTGGGTTCACAAAAAACTTCTAAATTAGGAAGAAACACCCTAGTAAAGAAAAGAAACACTCGCTTCTATATTTCAATAATGACGTTATTTGACCAGGCACTGGATCACAAGATTAACAAACTTTCCTTGAATGGAAATGAGGTATAGTTTTGGGAAGTTTGTTGATAGCATGGAAATCTTAGGGGTCGTTTGGTAAGTTTCGAAGAATTGATTAGATATTGGTTTTGATATCAGGAAAAAATGATATGGGTTTCTAAATCTGAAATGGAATCAAGTTTAACTCTTTACTGTTTGGTGAGAAAATTGAAACCCTGGTTTTGGGCAATCGATAAGGATATACTCGTAGGTAATATCATAAAGATAAAATAACTGAAATAATAATATTAATAATGATAATAATAAATCATTCAATTCGAGGAAAAGAAATCCAATAATTATAACCATAAAGGCGATGAGAAATAAATAAATTGAAAAGAAAGTTAAGAACCAATCGTAAAAGTTGAGATAAAGGGAGATACGTGTACGTGTGTTGTTTAGAACGAGAGGAAGAAGATCAAGTTGGTCCAGAGAAGCGACTTGCCGCAAGAAAAAGATATCGGCGATTTACATATTTGATATCGGCGGATTAGTTCAGATATCAAAACACAGGCTATACAAGAGTTTCCATGTCTCCAGATTAATTCCATATATATTTTTATTCACCAAACACTAATTTTGGTTACTTGAAATCGGAGATATCAAAACCCACACCGGCTTAGCTCACCAAACACGCTCTTACTATTATGGGAGTCTGTTTTGTCATTTCTCATGTGTCTTTTGATTGGTTCTTATTTACTTTGCTTATTGTTCAAGTTGGAAGTAGTGGGTAGTTATGCATTTGTTTCTACTTAGTAGGGAACGTGGTGTTAATGGGTCAAGAATCTGTAACATGCTATATATTCCTTGTTATGGGTTAGAGAGGAACAGTAAAGAAAAGTGGAAGGAAAAGAACACGAGAGGAAAAAATAAAAAAAGAAGAGTGAAAACAAAACTCTTTCCATGGAAGAGAGAAACCTTTTTCTTTTCTTTTCCTTTTTAATTCCTGGAACCAAACGTAGTCCCACGGACTGTGGGGGCCGGGGGGAGTTTTTCAATGAAAAATTAAAAGAAACACTGCATTTTGCTTTGGTCTCTCCCCTGCACCAGTCACACATTTTTGGGTCTTCTTGTGGAAGCTATTTGTGAAGTCAATTACAGTGTTAGGTATTGGCTCATTTAAGAACAAAATAATCTCTATATTGTCATAAAAGTGAAGGGGAAGTATTACGTTGCCCAAAATTTTTCATCCAAAAAGTTCTCACCGGTGTCTGGTTTGGTGATTTTGTTTTTTGGTGAATAGTTTTGGATAAAAAAAATATCATTTTCCTGAATGAAATAGATTAAACATGAATTAGATCTGTGGCACAATGTAGGCAAAGGATGGAGAGAGAGACAAACGCGACATATTACCGACAAGGTGTTTGATCGGTTCAAAAATGACTTGGACAGAGTGACTTTGACTTTTGAAGATCTCTATATCGCGGTGCTGCTTATATTCAAGTAAGGCTAGCTACTCGTTTCCCGTTTGGTTTCATTTTCATGTCTTCTCTATCTAATGCTATCAGGCTGGCAAGCGAATAACTAACTCGGTTTTGCTCTTACAGTGAATTAAATAAATGTTTGCCAGGGCCTCACCTAGACCCTCCTTCAAAAGAACAAGTTAGGGCCTTGATGAAGGTATCCCCCTTCCCTTTGCGTCCTAAATTGTGACTTTGATATTTTTTTGATATTTGAATCATAATCTGTTAGTGTTGAACACTCATTTTCAACACCATATCACTCTAACCCTCTGGTTGGAAGGAAGAAAAAAGAAAGGAAAGAAATTTGAAGGATTTCAAATTTTCATAGGTTGGTTTGGATAAAGGAAAATGGAGATGAAAGAAAGGAAAGATGTTCAATTTTTTTTTTGTTTGGAAAGAAAATGGGTTCAATCCCCATGGTGTGCACAGATTCTATATGTTTCTACTATTGAATAGGGGTAAGGTCTGCTTATACACACCCTCTCCAGACCCTACTTTTGTAGGGTTATACTGTGTCTTTGTTGTTTGTTTGGATCGAAAAATTAAAAGAAAAAAAGGAAGATAGCTAAAGAAACCAAAAAAGGTGAGATACCTTTTCTGTAGAGTTTTTCTTCCACTTTAGAGGGGAAAGGAAAAGGTGGGCCCAGTTTATTTTTTTATTTCTTTATATGCACTTTTCCACTCTACCAAACAAGGGAAAATGCAAGTTTTCCTTCCATTTTATTTCCTTCCCCTTCTTTCCTTCCTTTCTACCCTCAAACAAACAGGCTGTAAGAGTCTTGTTTGGATGGAAAGCTTTGGAGGGCTTAGTCTATATCTTAATCAGTATACTGTTCCTAAAAGTGAACGAAAGTTGATTGAAATGCTCTGCAAGCAAAAATCATGTCAATCTCTCAATTTGTATTTTGTATAAAACCTTAAGTGTATAATAAGCCTTCCAAAACCCTCCCCTCTACGCACCTCTGTCCAAACATGCCCGAAGTGGGAAACACTTTCTTAGCTGCTGATTCCTAGCAGGTCACTCCCTTCTGAATACATGTCCACACTATGTAATACTCAATGTCCCATATTGTTTTTTTAATCTTTTGTACAGAAATATGATTTCAATCTTGATGGGGAGCTGAACCGTGAAGAGTTTAACAAGTTCATCCTAGAATTGACTAAGGACACATTCTTCTCAATCAGTCAAAAGATGATTACTACACTGGCAGTGGCACCGACAGTGGCTTTGCTGACAAAGAGGACAACGGAGGGTGTACCTGTGGTTGGGAAGTTGGTGCAGAAGTTGCCCAATTCTGTTTACGCTTCCCTTGTCACTCTTGCTATTGTGCTTTTCCAGAAAGCAACCGAAGGCAAGTAATCAAAGATTGGTTTTGTCAATGACAACAAGCCCTAATGGCGGTTGATAAAGTGCAATTGTTGCATCGTTTTTTTCTCTTTTTTGGCAAAAAAGGGGCATTTACTGCCCTCGTATTTTTCCTTTTTGGGAAAGGGTATTTATTGGTGATGCAAATGCACCTTTTTGCCAAACAAAGACAGAATAAACATGTAACAAAGCCACCTTATCAACATGTCTCATGGCTATTAGCAAAACGGATTAAAGATTGCTTCTTTGCGCAGTTCATGAATTCAACCTATAGTTCAAAAGTTTTAATAATATGCCCTCGATCAGCTTTTGCACTGGCCGGGCAGGCTTGATTTGTGCATATATATGTTGTCCGAATTATTATAGGACAAAAGTCTGTGTTGTTTCAACTGATTTGTGCTGTTATTGTGTTTCAAGAGAACATGTGTACATTTTACAGAATAGATTCATATAGTTTGGTTTGAACGTGCAGCATTCATAATAGTGTGGCATCAATTTGTGCACTGTGAATCAAGACATCATCTTTTTATTCCCTGAGAATGGTCCGGCCGTTGGATCATTGTGAATTTTTATGAGGGTGATCTATGTAGTTCTAAATTTCACTCCAACAGTTGATTTTGGGTGAAAACATGGCGGGGCATTAGAATTTCTTTAAGGGTCCGTTTGGTACATGGAATTGATGGACTTGGGATTGAATTGGAATTAAAATTCAATGGGATTCAATTCCATAGAATTGAATTCATCAATTCCAATTCATTTTTAGCATTAAATCTACAAAATTTTTGTGCTACCAAACACAAGAATTGGAATTCAAGTTCTCAATTCCAATTCCACAATTTGAATTCCGTGTACCAAACTGGGCCTAATTTGATTTTATATTTTAACTTCTGACAATCATTCTCATTTTGCACTATTTGACCTCATTGTTGTCAACATATTCTTCCATAAAACTCCAAATACATGGGTTTGGTGGTTGCTGCTTTGGAGCGTCAATGCAATTAAAATCAGGCTAGAGGACCACCTCCCCTACACCAGATGGATTTTTGCTTCTCTACCGTTGGATGGTCCAAAAAAAAGAAAATGAAAAAAATTCAAACAAATATGGTAGCTTTCTTGTACAAACGCAGCGGTTCCCACATTCCATAACCACTGGTGATGGGAGCAAGTGGCGGTGGTGGTGGTGGGGTTGATGATGGCCGTGGGGCTGACAATGGTGGTAGTGGGTAGCTCTGGGGAAGCTGGTAAACATAGGGCATGGGCATTTTGGACAAATTGCACGGACAGAGCGAGTAGTTTTTTGTGATGGGTGAATTGTAAAATTGAAAAGCTCATTAAAAAGTGTACCATATATAGAATTGTGTAAAGAGGAAAAACAGTACTACACTTTTTTAGTACTCTGGGTCTATATATTGTACACTATGTGTAGACCATCTCCAATCAATTCACCAAAATAAAACCTAAAATGTAGTGTAAATGGAAAATGCAGTAGTTCATCTCCAATCTCTTGCTCCACACAATCTCAAACTCAAATCACCCAATTCATTTTTTCACTTCTTTTTATAGTCTGTAAATTTTTTTTAAAAAATGCATGAATGTACTAAAGAAGATATATACATAAACATATAAACAAAACAAAATAATTGTGAAAAGCTACAACAACAAAAATGCAGAACTAAATAATAAAATGCATATTTGCGCTGGATGAGAGGAGAGATCATCTAAAACTAGTGGAGCGCAATTGGAGAAGCTCTTATGAGGAAACAAAACCAAACAAAGGCATAGTGTACCATATATAGAATCTTACTCTCAGCCTTTGTCTGGTTTTGTTTCCTCCCCCAACTCACTGGGCTCAGCACTCACTCATCAACCCCTTGCTGGCGAGCAATGGAAGCAGAGAGAATGGAGAGGTCGCGGTTGAGTAGAGTCAATGCAGTTTCACATTCTGAGATTATTCGCGTGACCGAAGATGGCTCTCCTCCAACGGTTTCTGTTGACGATCCCACTGCCACTGCTGCATGAGAGTCCCTCAGATTCTTCAAGTTCCCTAGGAACTGTGTCACATTTTATTTTTAAAAAAATCGTAAAAAGATATTATTTTTTTTCAGAATTTTAATCTAGAATAATAGCCAACATATGGAGGGCAAAAAGGTCCCATGAAGTTATATACCTTCCAAAGCATATTATATGCTTCCAGCAATCTATTGGCTGCTGGCCCAAATCCGTGCAATTGTGGAACCTCCATCATGTGTGTCCACGGACGAATTTCCTGCGAATGTAAAAAATAATATTTAGGGATATTGATCTCAAACTGCAACATACTACGTATTTAACTCCCCTACAGCAGTAAGGTGCTAATTTGCACTGATTTGTCCTAGCTAAATTTTACTGTGCGCACATTAGATCTTTTCTTTTAGTTACTGTAAAATAATACACTAGATATAAGACTTCTTAAGCAAAGAGACAAGCTACCAGAAATCATTTCTTATTTCTCCCTCCATCTCGATTTAGTTGTCCTTTTTCTTGTTTTTGTTTGGTAGGAATACGTTGTCCACTTTCTTGTTTTTTGTTTGTAAGGAATTAGTCGTCCACTTTCAATATCCAATGAGGAATTTGTGATGAAATGTCTAAAATCTCCTAGAGATATGGTGTGAACATTCTCAACATGAATGAGTGACAAATCATTTGAAGGACTTATTTCACATTTCAAACTCATTTCTTGAAAATGAGATTTTTTTAAAGTAAACAACTAAATCCGGATAGAGGGAGTATAAAAATTATTTCTTCGGAGTCAATGGCTTAAGGTAGCAGTAGCAAGAGTGCCAAGTAGTTTAGTGTAATTGGAAGCTAACCTTATTATAAATTGTATTAAAGGATCTTGCTGTTTCTAGAAAGGTTTCTAAATGGGTACGCAACATTGCTTCAACCTCCGCATATTCCTCATCCGGGTTATATGGATGCTGTACACCAAAGATTAACCAAGAACGAATTTCAGTGAGCTGATGAACTATGACTTGAGGAAAGTAATATGAATGCCAAATGCCAATAGAAGCACAATTGTGATTGAAATAAGTGTAACCTTTGATGCTAAATCATCAACCATCTCTTGAATACTAAGAAGTCTGCTAGATTGATCTGAGAGTTGCTTCTCTAAATCAGCAATGTCAGGCCTGCAAGTTAACTCAGATTAAAGTAAATCAATAGTTGCAAACACTGGTGAAGGTAAGGCAAATACTGTTTTGTCATTACTTGTTTCTCGATGCCACCAATGACCAAACTCATGCTACATTGCCCACTAAAGGGTACCACAAAAATAACCATATCGAGCTAGAAACATAAAAGGGTTTCTTTATGACTCTACCCTCTAATAGTTTTTCTACTCCCAAGGGTCCGCTAGGCAGGAGGGTTTTGGAGTGGTTTGGAGGGGAAGACTACAGTGTTTATCTAGTTTTTTATAAGAGGTTTTTAAGAAAAATGTAAGACTAACATAATGTGTTATCGTATAACATTAACTTTTCCTCCGCTCCATTTGTACCAAACAGGCTCTAGCTTCTAAGAGTTGAGTTGGGAAGTTGTTTCAAACACACACACACACCTTAATGCAATTAGTTCATAAGAAACACAGTGTTAGAGCACAAGTACCCACGACCAAGTTCACATGAAGGGATGATCTTGATAACAAAAAATAGTGTTTCTTACAATGGATATATGGATTGGATCTGAACATCAGCAGGAAACAACTTGCACTCTTCAGAGAAGATTTGAACTTGTTTCTCAGCTATGGCATCAATTAACTGAATGTCCTTATTTACTTGCTCATCAACACTGCAAGAGAAGAACACCAAAAAATAATTCAATACTTAATTGTACACTAATATATTAGAATCACTTGAGCTCTTGTTCTTGAATGATGGAATGGGTGTTGGGACTTTGAGGTTCTTTGTAACAACTTTATCTAATTGTCTGTAATAATGCAATTCCTAACTCACTCTTTATCGGACAAACTCATTGGGGATTTCCAATAGCGCAATGATCTAACCCAATCCCCCTAAATTTATGTATAAACTCCTACCTTTGGGTTGAGATATGGATTCCGCTACCAAAATTTTAAAAGGTCTAATCCAATATCAAGTTTGAGTATGTTCTAACCTCCAATTAGGATTATCAGCATACAAACTAGCCTCCACAAGATCAACAATAAGACGTAGCATTTCAGTACGATCTTCATAACTTCCTCGCCCCTGCAACGAGATGATCAGAAAGAAAAGAAAAAAATTCCTGAACAGAAAATGGGAAAGAAACTTGCAATAACTCTACTCGCAATTAAATGCATAAACTAATAAATAAACTAACCGATATCCACTTTACCGCTCATCTTAGTGTGCTGATGAATTTCATAAGGACCATTTTCTTGGCAAACAATTAGGTGCAATGAATGAACCTAGTGAAGGAGTTCTTTTAATTGGGGGAGAGGCTCTGAATCCTAGAACATTTTACCATTACAGATTCCCAGAAGCACCTCAAATGCTCAAAGTTACCATATCCCCCCCCTCCCGCCCCTCTCCCCAAATTTAAAACAAAAACTCAAGAGAAATGCAGCAAGTAGGCTACAACATAATGCAGCTCAGCTAACCCTTTCTCTCCAAACTACTTAGGTTCATAAGGTAATTGAAAAAAAATGCAACAATGTTAGAAATTCTACAGCAAAAGGAGAAAATCGAACTCACTTGAATGGTATCTATGTCCACAGTCGTAGTTATGCCCAGAAACTTTGCAATCTCTGCCAGATCTGAAAGAGCACAAACTCAGTGTTTTGGTAAAGCTTTTCAGAACAGCTAAATCCAAACACAACCATAATTATATGGAAAGGAAAAATACATTGAATGCGAGAGGTTTCCTCGTCCCCTTGTAAATTCTGCTGTGAAAATGGAGATTTATCTCCTAACAACCTGCAGCAAAGCAAAGGTCGCGTCTTTATCATGGCACCCTGATGAGATAAGGTTATAGAGGAGGAAAAACGTACTTGAAGAAGAGCCATTCAAGAAGGGCGTAGCGCTCCATGCCGGCAAAAAGGAGTGCCTGGGAAGGGGCATTGGCTCTTGGGTAGCTGAGCGTCGCCAATTTCTTCCGTATTTCTTCCATTTGCTTGGCTGCCATTCCAATAGATATTGAATCGATTCAACGCCAGAAATCACCTCTTGATTGCTCTATGAGATATTCGGGATAATCAAAGGCTCAAACAAGAGTGTCGGGGTTTACCAGATCAGAAACACTGTTGTTTAGACAAAGGTAATGGTGTGCACTTATGCCAATTTGAAATTTCATGTAGGATGAGAAAGTTATGCAATTTTATGGTAATGAGGAAGTACTATAAAAGAAAAGTGGACAACTATTTTGGGATGCCCAAAAAAGAATAATAGACAATTATCGCGGGATGAGGATTGAGGAGAGTACCATTTTCCACCCACTTTTTTTCTTATAGATATTCAGAGACACATAATTGTGTTAGATGTCTACGAATATCAGTAAAAAAGTGTGGTTAAAACTGAGGTCTAAATTGAGATACATTTAGTGCTTGTGTTGGTAAGTTTTGGAAAGTATGATAAGATATAAGTTTTGAAATCTTAAAAAATGATATGATTTTGAAATTTGAAATGAATTTGTTTAGACATATTTAAAGTTATAAATAAGTTAATTAGTGATAAGTGGAGTGACCGGTAACGAGGATGATTGGCAGTGACAATAATAGCCGATCGCGGAGAATGGTCAACAGTTGAGAACGATTCAAAACCTCATATTGATATTTTCTCACATTCGGGAGATATCGAAACCCTCAATTTTGAGGGTTCACCAAACAACGAAAAAAGACTATGATATCTAGAAATATCAAGACTCATACTTTTTCAGTTCACCAAATACACCTTTAACATTTTTCATTTGAACCACACGGGCCGTCTAAAATAACTTACCATGTTTGGATGGAAGGAATTGGAGGAAAGAGAGGTGAATCAAAGGAGAAACACTCCATCCTTTATTTTTATTGAGCGTTTTTGAAAATAACATTATTTGAAGATATTATCTTCTTTTCTCTGAGTTGGAGTAAGTGAAGAAAAAAGATACTAACTCCTCATGAATAACTATTTTTAAATTAAAAGTATATTCTATTCCTTCATTTTTCATTCAATTCAAACAAAAGATATTCACCTTTCTTTATTATTTCATTCTTGTTCAAATTTTTCAATCCAAATACCATACCATCATCTCCCATCCTCTCTTCTACAATACTCTCTTCTCTCCCTTTAGGAAATTTAGTCCTCCCATCCAAACAATGCCTTAGGATTGCAATCCACGTATAGCTTAGACTTCATCCATCCCAGTTACACTTTACACAATTTTTAAAATGTTCCATAAAAAATTTTTTATTCTTATAAGGAAATGAATATATATGATTCTGAACATCTATTTCTCTTTATTTTAGTTGTACGTCAGTCAAATGAACTTATTTTTACACGTTATTTTGATAATTAATCAAAACAAACCACTTATAAAATGTACGTATACAGATTTGAGAACTATATAATATTCATTATAACTATATGTACAAAATATAAATTTATGAGTATCATAATATTCATTTGCACTACGAGAAAATGCCAAAATCAAAAATTGAAACCAAAATTTTGACAAAAATGGTTCATATCTCATGTTTCTTTTTTTAAATTATTTGATTCAGATCAATTTTTTTGAATAAATTTAAATCATACAATTTTATCACACATACACTGATGTAAAAAATATACCCTATAAAAAAATTAAAGAGGGGCAAAGGAAATGCTTTTTTAGTTGAATTGATTGAAGGGAAGAGAAAACAAAAAAAATCACTCGCAAAAACTACATTACAATCTGCAAAAATTATATTACAATTTGCAACTGAAGGTATCAAGAACAACCTCTAGGGCTCTACCCCTTTAAACCCTTGAATCAAAGCGTTATTTTTATTCTCGTGGCAAAAATTTAGGGACTACTATAGATGTTGAGTTTGGTATAATAAAAATAATAAAGCATAAAGGTTGGACATCTTTTATGAAAGATGGGGTTAATATGATCCAATGTCCTAAAAAGTTTGATTAATGGTGTCCAAAATTTCTTAATAATATTAGTGAAAATCATGATGAAAACATGAGCCATATTTTAAATTAAATTTCAAACAAGTTACACAATTTATCAAAAAAATCAAATTATACAAAAAAAAAAAATATCATGAGAGAGTAGTTGCATTTGGTGGCATGATGTTTGGGGGATTGCCAAGAAAGGGTGAACCATTTTCAGGGGAACAACTATAATCCTCACTAAGCATCCCATCCCCATCATCTGATCTTACTCTTCCGCGAGAGACTCCGTACCTTAAAAACAGGAAGGGAAGTGAAAAATATCTTGCCGCTTGTTGTTGTCTTGGCGAATCCTCAGTTGAACCGCCAGAACAAGAATTGCCATCGAGTGGAGATGCTTCCTCTCCTCCTTTAGAGCTGTTTTCTGTATGAGGAATCATGTTTTCACTAGCTGAATCTTCGAGACAGAAGCATAATTCACGCCGCGAGCCTTCTTTTAACTTGAGTAGTGTGGTCTCTGCAGCATCAGAAGTTCATCAGTGCCAACAAAGTTATGTTTTTTAAAAATCACAAGGGGGGGGGGTTAATCAAGCCAAAACCAAGATAAAGCCAGGAACACAAGTGTGGACAATTGGATGACCAGAGATGCTTCAAACAGCTAAAAGAAAAAGATTCAAACGTGACTCAAAATATCTGAGATGAAAACCCTGATAGGAGTGTTAGGACACTACAAGTTTTTCAGTTTATATCAAAGGAATTCTATCATCTCAATGATCATATTAGGGCACTCTTTAGCATTAACATTTGTGATATGCCATTAAAACAGGCTTGTGGCCTCTTCTAGCTCCACACCATGAAACTTCTTGTCTTGCAAAAATCATGTTTTGACTACTCCCTCCATCCCTAAATTATTATCCGCTTTACTATCTGAGGCTTCCAATAACTTCTGTTTGCGTTTGATATAGTTTTTAAATATTTAAGTTATACTTTTAATTTTTATGCGTGACTTAAAAGAAATGAGATTTTGCAAGTTGTTCGAAAGAAGACGATGATTTAGGAACGAAGGGAGTACATCTCAACCGAGGTACGTTTAAACAAAAATAATTTCCATATGCACATGTGCAACAAGTATGACTTCTTCAGTTTTAAGCTTTTGCAGGTTTCAAGATCATAGACTAGCTAAGAGCACACTTAGAGCATGTTCTATTGGGAATTTGTACCAAAAACAATATCCAAGAAATATCAAAAAATCCTTGGTTTACTAGACAAATGGTTCATAGATACTGTATAAGTTCATCATTGCCTCGACCAAGTTGCTATTTACCTATACTGCTTGCAGCATCTATTCACCATACGCCTCATTTTCAACAAGGCACTTATCGACCATGGTATCACAATTCAGAAACCATCAACTATAGCCCCTAAGCCCCAGGAAGACATAGAGATATTTGATTTAAAAGGGCGTTTTTTGACAAATCCAAGTTAAGAAGAGGGAAAGCATGCCCAGGAGATAAGATTCTACTTAGGGCCCGCCTTGAAATAAGCGAAGAAAGGCCTTGTGCACCAATTTTTTCCAGATATCTTTAGTTCTAAACTTGTAAATTATTTTCACAAAAACATTTCTCTAATACTGTAGCATACCTTATAGCTTATGCTTTCTACTCTATGACTTAGTTTAAAAAAGGACCCTTCTGATGCACTCTTTTCGCACCAGAATAAAGCTAAATTTGCCATGTCTGGTTTTCAAGAATGAGGCGGTTGAAATTTATGTAGAGCAAACAATAAAGTACAAAACAAGAAACTCTTTTGTACAAAGGAAACTATTTTGGGAAAAGATTAAAAACAACAGATAATACCCTTTCTTTGAAAGATGGAGTAGTCAACTTAAAGCGTCTTCGAGTAACTCAAACAAATTAAACTGTACATCCAAATATACTAACATCTATGTACATCCAATGAGTACTATATAATTTGCAAATGTGCAAACGTAAATTTTACAATGAGCATGATCCGAGTATGTATAAACAAAAATTAGTATGCCATATCTGACAATGTATTCTAATTGTTTAATTGATTGGAAGTGTCATTAGCAACTTGCAAAATAGAAATTCTTTTAGCAACAAAATGAGCACTATGCATTTATTAAATGTGCATACATTAATTTCATATGGTGAATGCTCCAAGTATATACAGAGAAAATGTGAAGTGAATATTCTTTAATTTGCAATTGAACATATGCCATATGTAAGATAAATAGTATACATCCAGATGCATAATATAAGAACCCTATAACTCATGTTTTCTATTGAACACAAGTCAGATCTACTGCAAACTGGTAACAAATTAATTTTAAAAATCGAAATTACTATCAAGTATCAATCAGATTTGGCATTTATTTATCTTCCTGCATTCAATTAGATACTTTCTACCTCCTTAAAGGCTTAAACAGAATAATTCTTCTGGGAAAGAAAGTGAGACCCCTTCTTAGGCTCAACTACTTACTGTACCTAATATCATTTAATTGAAATTTCTAGGGCAAAATTGAAAGAAATGAAATGAAATTGGGGGGAAAGAGAATGGATACCGTAAACTGAGAGAGAATCGGTTTTGATGAGCTTGGGAGGTTGCCTCTCCATCTCCAATTGCTCCAACGAGCTAATCGATGGTCTTCTTACTCTTCCCAGCATACCTCTCTCTCTCTCTCGATCTCTCTCAATTTCTCTGTGATCTTTGTTGGGAGATTAATGCGGGCTTTGGAGCCTGAAGCTTTCTAAGTAGATAAGTCGAACGATTTAAAATTGGGATTGCATTTTCAGATTTGATTTTAAATTTTGGTGGCGGCAAAAGACCTGTGAACGAGCGGGAAACATAAATCAGGTCTGCATTCAGAAAGTGCCGACCAAAAATAGGCCTGTGTGAAACCAATGATTTTAAACCCGGACCGGAGGTCGACCCGGCGGGGAGGACGGGTCCCAGATCGATCCAGATTTTTTCAGGTTTTTGGGTTTGGACAGGACCGGACATGTTTTTTATTATAAAATTTTAAAGAAGAGTATGTATAAGACTCATTTTAAAATATTTTAATTTCAGAAAAATGAAAAAATATTTCACCTTCAAATATATTAAACTGCTTTTTTGGCATTTTTATATTTTATTTAATGTAATAATTTTTTAAATAAAAAAGTTATAGAATTTTTAGAGCATGTACATTAATATTTAAATTATACTTTTTGTTTAAAAAATATACTCTGTATATCTTAGAATGAAAATACATTCATTTAAAATAAATAAAATTATATTTATAGAATGGGAAAAATTACCCAAAATAATCTCAACTTTACCCGGTCTTTCAAAAATAATCCCACCTTTCACTGTGATGCATAATAATCCCAACTTTATTGAAATTTGCCAGTTTTGGGTCGCCGTTAAGTTTCTAACGGAGGGTTAACGGAAATGCCCGTTTTAGGCAACAAAATGAAAGTTGGGATTATTTTTGATGAATTTTTGTTTTTGAATTTTTTTTGAAATTTTTATTTAAATTTTTTGAATTACTTTCAACCTCCATTTCTTTTTCTTTTTTAACGATTATTCTTACCTTAGAAAAAAATAGATATAAAAAATAATGAAAATGAGAAAAATAACTAAAACCATACAAAATTAATCAAATAAATAATGTAATCAATAGAAATTAAACAGAAACTGATAAGAAATAAAATAAATATATACGGAGTGGTGGGTTTTAACATTTTACACACTATACGGAGTCTTAATGTACTGCTTATTTTTTAAAAGAACAAGCCGTCCGATAAAATTGGAATTATTGTACATAATTTTTTTCTAAAACATAAGAAGTGATATGTTAATACTTTGTATAATGCGTAAAATATTAAAGCCCACCCGTAAATTTTTATTTTACTTTTACCAATTTCAAGTTAGTTTCCATTGATTACCTTATTTATTTTATTATTTTTGTATCATTTTAGTTACATTTCTCATTTTTTTCATTTTTTATATAATCTATTATTTTTATTTTTTAAACTAAGACTAATCTTTAAAAAAGGAAAAAGAAATGATGATGGAGGTAGAAAGTAATTTAAAAAATTTAAACGAAAAATTTTTAAAAAATAAAAAAATAAAAATTCATCATTTTTATATCTATTATTTTTATTTTTTAAACTAAGACTAATCTTTAAAAAAGGAAAAAGAAATGATGATGGAGGTAGAAAGTAATTTAAAAAATTAAAATGAAAAATTTTAAAAAAATAAAAAAAATGAAAATTTATCAAAAATAATCCTAACTTTCATTTTGTTGCCTAAAACAGGCATTTCCGTTAACCCTCCGTTAGAAACTTAACGGTGACCCAAAACTGGCAAATTTCAGTAAAGTTGGGATTATTATGCATCACAGTGAAAGGTGGGATTATTTTAGAAAAACCGGGTAAGGTTGGGATTATTTTGGGTAATTTTTCCTATAGAATGTCAAAAGTTTAGAATGTATATGAGCCTGGTTAGGCGAGGGGAGGGAGGCCGAGCCTGCCCGTACCCAACGCACCCGGTCAAACCGGCAAGAACCTTCTAAATCTCGGATTTCGCGACGGGAGGAAGAAGCCGAAAGCCGTCATCTCCGCCACAGAAATGGTGAACACCATATGCAAGACTACAAAAGGAGGTGAAAGTAAAGGATGACAAAGTTGCCGGCTTTAAAAGTGCTTAAAGTATGGCTTCATCCTTGTGATATCGTCTTGGGCAAATTCTTCCGTGAACCTAAAATCTATGCTCACTTTGTGAATCTTAGTGCATTTGTATCATAAAGAAAGTGGCATTTTGCAAGAGAGAAAATATCTACATGCAAGCCCATAAAAAATGTGAGAATATCTAGACTTTAAATGTAGACCTAGGGAGAAGCATCACTCATCATCTTGTGAATCTGTGATTCATTATTAGTCCTATAAATGCATTGCATTTATTCTTAATTATCATTTCAAATTCGGATCCGTGCATTTAAATTTGTTTATTTTGCGCCAGAAGAATTTGAATGCCACTGAAAATGTACAACTCCATAACCCAACTTATTTTTTAAATTTTTAATAGATTTCTTTACCGAACTTCATACCTTTAATTCCAAGAATGTTATGTTTTGTTTAAAAGCTTCCACAACGTCTGAATTTTTTATTCAGATGAATTCGTTAAGTACAATTACTAATTTTGATTTAAATGTTTTGGAACTTAAAGGTGTGTGTATACCATATTTAGTAGCAATTCAGTTCGCTGACTCATTGGTTCAAGTTATGGGAATTGAAGTGTTGTGATAAATCCTAAGGTTCTTATCACTCCAAAGGGACACATAACTTCAACCAACAATCCAAAAATTGACATAATTGTTGTGGGAAAAAAATTATATTTAAATTTTAAAATCAACCCATTTTACAAATTTCTAAAGAATTCAGAGTTTGTTTGGCACGCAGAATTGACAAAATTAAAATTGAATTGGGAGCTAAATTGATTTGGATGAAATTGAATTCTCCAATTACAATTCATTTTTGGCATTATCAATTTCAAATCCACATATTTTTGTGCTACCAAACCGTGGATTTGGAATTATTGTCTCCAATTCCAAATCCGTAGTTTAAATGAATTCCTATACCAAACGGAGCCAATTCCCTAATTCCAATTCCATAGTTTAAATGAAATTATCTTCCTGCTAGGAAAAAAAAACCATTGCATCTGCAAGCATTTACACTCGTTGGCAAGCTTATTTTTAATAAAAAAAACCATTAATCTTCTACACTAAAAAAATCAGTGCAGGTGAAAACTGTTGATTAGATCAATATTGGCTTGTCCTGAAGCTGCTTGTTTCCACAGCTCTCCATAACCACTGCATACATTAAGATTTGCAAGCTTAAACTTATTAGATCAAAAGGGTGAAACATAGAAGAAGACCATACTGCATAAAATGAACCTGGATGAGCACACGAGCAATCGACACTCATACCCTATAAGCCATAACTAACAGGAGCAGTTCAAGATATAGATGCGCTTCTTGGTGCTGATCGGTACGTGTTGTGAATCCAGTTCAGAACAGGGGTGCAATCTTCACGGCCGACGAAATGCCTAGCCATGCATTATAAATGATTTCACTTTTTTGTTGTGTCAAGACAAAAACAAAGAGAGAGAGAGAGAGCAAGTACTCCAATCAACTTACTTTTGAAAGGAAATGACAACTTTAAAAGAAATCACCCGAACAGGAGTAAAACATAGTAGCATTTATCCTCAAAATAGGAGTTTCATGTTTTTATCCTCAAAACAGGAGGTTGCGTTGTGACATTATGGCTAGGGGTGGGCAAAAAAACCGAATTAGCATGGTACCGTACCGGACCGTAATGGTACCGAACCGTTTATAGTCTTTTCAAACGGGATTGATTTTTTTCATCACGAACCAAAACCGAATCGATACCAAATGGGACGGGACCGTGATACAAATATTGAAAACCGATTATCACGGACCAAACCACCAACGCTATATACGGAGTACATATCTCAAATAATTATGGAGTATGTGTCTACTTCATCTTATCGTGTATAGAGTACTTCGTATTTTATTATTCAATTTTAAACTCTCTCATTATTATTGTTGTTATTATATTTATTATTACTATTGGCATTATTTTTTTATAGTTATTAGTATTCCGATATTATATGAATTGGAAAAAAAATTATTTTTTAACTTTAGACTCGTTATCTTTTATTTCATTATGTTAATGTTTCGTTTAAATTCGAGATCAATACTTTTATTTAACATTCTTGTACTTTGTTATACTCCGGTACATATTTATACATTAAATTCAATATTATTTACGTAATGTACGTTCATTTTTTTTGGCACGGTTTGAGCATGGGTATGGTATCGTACCGTTCCGTTTCAAAACGGAATGGTACCGAATGGTTTTGGAGTTCATCCCGTACCGATACCGAACCGTTTAAATAATAGCGGTCCGTGATAGGTTCCGGTAGTATCACGGACCATCACGGACCGCGCCCACCCCTAATTATGGCACTGTATAGTGGCACCCCATTGTATTTTTGGTACTATATATTGGCATTATTGGCATTGTAACTCCTATTTTGGAGATAAAAAACATGGAGCTCCTATTTTGGTACTTTCTCCATGCTTTGCTTCTAGTTTATTCCTTTTCCCCAATTTTCACCTATTTTTCAGAGATTAGTTTCTTTAATTTAGTAAAAAGTACCATTTTTTTATGGTTCAATCATTTTCTTTGCAATTTCAGTCAATTCAACCAAACAAGCGAATGTGTGTTCAAGGCATACTTGTTTTTAGGACGATAGGCCTTCATTTTTGCAACTTCATGCCGGCCTGACATTTCTTTCTCTATAGAAAGATAATGGGGAACCTTCAGATGCCCAAAGTCACTGTGAAACGCGTCATAAATGAAGCTAAGCACACTTTCCTGTAACAAGGTCAGTGCACATTAGATCTCCCCAAGGATAACCAGTCATCCGTTCAAAAAAATCTTCCTGGTTTGACTTGGCAGTTGCCACGCTTATTTAAAAAAATTAAATTGTGTAGTTGTGGTTTGTGGAAATAAGAGAACATTATCAACCACACAAATCCTTCTTTCAAAGCAAACAAAAAGAAAAATTTAAAGTGTGAAAAGACGAAGAAAAATTTAAAATCAAGTAATATTATTGAAAATCCTTAACACTATGCTTGGTTCATGGAATTTGAAAGGGAAAAGAAATAAAAATGAGATGGAATACAAATTTTCTTGTTTGGTTAGAGAGGAAAAGAAAAGAAAAGTAGAAGGAAAAAAATGAGAAGGCAAAACTTAGAGGAGAGAAAACAATATTCCTCCCATTTTGGTTAGGAAAATGATAGAAAACAATTTTGTTTTTTTCCTTTCTAATTCTTTGAACCACACATAGTGTAAAGAAATAAGAGAGAGTATCCCCTGTACCATTGGTTTTGACGCATCAATCCAGTGATAAAGTGGTTCGTTACGGAACCATGTGAGTTGCCTTTTGGCAAAATTTCTGCAATCGAAAAAAATGAAAGGCCAAAAGCGTTGGCCTGAAGGTAGACAAGCTGAATAAACATGGATAACGTTATTAAAGAATAAAGATTACCTGGATGCTTTCTGGAATTCAGAAAGAAAGGCAAAAAAATCACCCGGAGAACTAGAACCCTGTTGTTCTCTGCAGTACAAGAGATATTCCATAGCCTGAAATACATTGAACAAAACATAGTTAAATTCCAGGCGAAGCAACACTTCTTTATCCTTAGAATCGAGGAATATACTAAATAGCAACACGAGTCAAGGACTGGACGCTATTCCAACATGGAAGAGGAGGAATATACATGTCGGTAGCCAATAGCTCGAGTTGCAGAATTTGAATTTGGAAGAAGGCCTAAATCAAGAAGCCACCTAGCCTCGGAGAGAATTCCATCTTCTACAATAGTGGGAATGAACAAGAAAAAACACTAGGACTTGTCAGGCCAAGCAGGGAAATGCAAATAGGCATTAACATAAAGCATGTGAACCCAAATACTAGTACTAGGGAGTGACCCATTACCAATGAGAGATGTTAATATCATACATTCATACTCCATGTCCCTAAATTATCCATTCAAACATGCCTTTTAAGGATAGCAATATGTGGTTCACATTATTTCTCTTTCTTCTGAATAAATCATTCTCTTTAATTTTATATTGAAACAAAGGGACCAATAGTAAAGGGACAAAAGGAGTAACCATATTTGGATTACCTAAGAGCATATCTTCACATCGAAAATCAATTGATCTGTAGAGATCTAGCCTTTGGGTGGTAAGAAATATGCAAAGGAAATCATAGTCCAAGTCCTTTGCTTTAATCTGTTGAAGTCCATCGGCAGAACAGCTATAGTCAGACGCATCTGCTGCTACTGATTCACACTGTTCTTTGAAAGAAGTATATGGTACTTCAAAAGCGGATGGAGATAACCCACTAGACTGCAAGTTAAAAAAACATATAAATAAAAAATTCAATTGACTATGAGTCTGAGATCATGCACATACACCACGTTAAAACTGACAGAAGTCTTGGCAGTCACATTAATGATGGAATTTGATGTATGAAAAATAACAAAACCAAATTTACTCCCAACCACATTGACGCAGATTATTGTATGGGGTCCTTATCATTATAAAAACACTAAAGTTGTTTCCCTTATGGAATTTGATGTATGAGAATGGAAAAATATACGATGTAATCCGTACATCTAATGTATGTAACTATGTATACAATATACGAAGGAGCAAAACAGAGAGAAGAAAGTTGAAGTTACTTTGATAATTTCAAGTCTGCGACGTAAGCGATACCAGTCATTTGCAGCTAAAGACTTAACCCCTGGATCTCCGGCTTTAACCACCAACTCAACAGCAGCATCCCAGTTCTCATCTCTCTGTAAATTCCCGATCTCTGTATGGACTTCAGATACTATCTCTCTAGAGGCTATTGGAACATTTGGTTTCCCGTAAACAAACCTTCAATATTAGAACGGGCAGTCATCACATAAGTTGGTATTGGTTGAGGTTTGGATCCATTTCTCTATTCAAAGCAGCATAAACTCTAAATTCTCATATTCAATATACTTCAATAGGACTACAGAAGTACTTAAGAGATCATAAGGCAACAACAACGGAACCCAGTATAATCCCAACTCTGTTTTGGTCTGAGGGTTGAGGTGTATGCAGTTTGCAGCCTAAGCCTGGAAAAAACCAGAGGCTGTTTCTGTTAGATCTTGATGCATTACTACATCTGTTCTACCAAAACTTCACAAGTAAGAATCAAATGATGTTTAATGTGATGTTTTGATTTAGTCCATTATATATCCAAAACTAAACAACTGATAATAAGGATTATTTTAGCTTCATTGACAATGGACGCATTAAGAGATAATATGGCACCTCATAAAGTCATACTCCCTTCCACCCAAAAATTGATCTTTACGCTAACTATTCAATGTGTTAAACCATAACTTCTTTCCTTGCATATTTTCATTGATCATTTGTTAAAAACAGCATAGTCAATCAACTACTTGCTTTGTAGAACTTTTGATAGTTTCTAAACATATTGATTTTACACAAATATTGAAATACAGAGTAAATTTAATTGAATATAACTTGAGCCAAACATCGTAAACCAATATGAGTTTTTTGGGACAGGTGAAGTAATGATAAATATATAAATAAATAAATAAATAAATAAATAAATAAATAAATAAATAAATAAATAAATAAATAAATAAATACTCTTGAAAGTGTTTTAGGCCATATGACATAATCATTGCACCTACACCCTCAATTCTTTATTAACTGTCGGTTTTGCTTTCCATGTCAAACATTTGACCAACATTCTCTCTTAAAGTATATTTGCAAATAGTATTTAAAAAATAGTACGGAGTATTTTCGACACAAAAATATTATAATACGTATAAATTTATATTTTAATTCATTGTACTCCATTTTTATTTTGTGGGTCAAAACAAATGGATAGTCAAAAAAGAATGGTGAGTGTAGTATTTTGGATAAAGAAATTTATACTAGTAACAGCAGTACCTTCGTGCCACTAATTTTGGAACATGAGGGAGTGACCAAAAATGTGAATATTAAGATTGTGTGGTTGATATTAATGTTAAAAAATAAGATAAAGTAAGAATGAATATGAACCACACAAATATGACCAAATATCATATGAGACAAAAATAGTGGGACGGACAAAAAGGTTAAAAGGGAAAAAAATAGTGAGANTAAATACTCCAATAAAATTCAAGATAGTACCTCGGAAAAGATAGAAAATAATAGTAATATACTCCGTAGATAAAGCATTTCAAATTTGAGAAAACACAAAAACATACCACCGTAAATACAATCCTGTACCCCCTGAAACAATCGGAACACGGCCCTTGTCAAGGATATTTTTTGTAGCTTGCCTTGCATCCTCAAAGAATTTTCCAACAGAATAATCTAGTTGTACAAGTGAAAGCGAGAAAAGAAAAGGTGACATTATTAGAAGAGAAAAGTTTAGTGTTAAAACAACACATATCACCATCATCCCAATCACAACAACCTAGTATAATCTAAACATGGTTGGAGTCTAGGGCAGTCAAGACGTACGCAGTCTTACCCTTGTAAAAACATGGCTGTTCTTGTCAGACTCTAGATGCATTGTTGCATTTACGGTCCAAGACTTCAGAAAAAGTAAGAAGCAAAGGAAGTTTAATGTTTCATTTTGATTTAGTCCATTATGTGTTCGAAACTAAAGTCCATAACGACTCTTTTAGCTCTATTGGCAATGGAGGTTTCTTCAAAACATTTTGATGTAGTCCATTATGTGTCCAATCACAGTTTCTTCGAAGTGTTTCATAAAAAGATCATATGAAGATCTATGCGGTTCATACAAAGGAACGTCACACCAACATTATACTAATGAGGATACTTTAATAGGATCCAAATAGCAATACCTTCAGATGGATGCAAAATGTCAACCAGATGGTGTGGCACCTCCTGAAAAGATAGTAAAAGTAACACTAGCATTGTAACCAAATGTGAATATATTAATAAAAGTTTTTTATCCATGATCTCTTTTAATTCAAACATTACTTGATTATCTGATACTGAATATACACACACTGATTTTAATTGTATACATCATTTGTCAATGAAACTGCTATTTTACATTTAAATTGAAGTAATGAAATAGGTCATTAAGTTGTGCATAACCTTTTGTTTTTGTCTCAATCAAAAGAATTAAAATTAAATGTGTTATGGTCCTTGGCGTAACTTTGAGTGAGGCTTCTTGATAAACCTAAGGGCATGTTTGGTTGGGTGGGAGGGGAGGGGAGGGAAGAGAAGGGAAAATGAATCCATCCCTTCATTTGGTTTAAAAATTATGGAGGAGAGGGAACCTGATTTTTTGGCTCTCATTCCTTCCCCTCCCCTCCGTTTCATTCCCTCCGAATCGGAAGGATTACAGTGGTCGTCTCTCACTCTTCTACCCCTCTCTCTCTCTCATTTGCCTCACTCTCTTTCGCCTATTTTGTGCTGCTGCGTCTCCATCTCTAGGTAAAAATTTCATCTTCACTACTGATTCCCTCCCAGTTTACCTCTTCTCCCCAGTCTATTTCACCAGGTGAGGAAAATTATTTTCATTTTCATCTAGGTCTGTTCAATCATATAGGCACTGCAATAACATCGAATCTTCTTCTCCTAATATCTCTTGAAATTAAATGATGATAAATAGATTTGGGATGCTCATTGTTGAATCGAAAGGGATTCCACTCAAATAATGATATTACACCTACCTCATTGTGTTCAAAAGCTAGAACTCTGCTTCGGGGTTTGAAAAGCTTGAAATAATTTAGATGTTTTCCTTCCCCTTCTCCAACCAAACAACGTAAGTGTAGCCCCACCCCATCCCTTCCCCTCCCCTTCCCTCCCATCAAACCAAATAGACCCTAAATGGTGAGGATCAACAGGGAGAGAGGCAGAAGGTTTTGTGCGACCTATGACTACTCACGGGCTGGTGGCAGGGAATGCAGTCCCACCTCCAATAGCTTGCCAATTACTCAGGAATAAATAGTCTTTAGTGATGGCAGATAACCCAATATTTAATAGTCTCTTACATAATCAAAACTTGGCTAGGACAAGTAAATCAAATACTTACCAAACCATTAATTAGTTAAGCATTATTAAATGATATAATAATTTAGGAAACATGAATTCTCTTGTCAAATATGCGAATCTGCCTTGTGCCTTCACTGATATGTGCTGCCTCGAAGGCGTCTATATCAACATGCTACAAAGAAGCATACCATGTCAATGTATTGGGAGATTCTTCTCTCTATACCATTATGGTCCATCCCATGTTTATTTATAATATGTGCATTAAATTTTTCATTTCTAAGTTTATAAGTCTCGAATTTAAATTTTAATTTCCAGATTTCCAAGATAGAAGTAATTCATTAATTAACTTTACAGAAGGGTAAAAGTGAGAATTGCATATGATATTAAACATTCCAGCTAAGTTGACAACTGCTACTACATATTAATCCTTGTGCAATTAGACACAAGCTTATCTTTGTGGGAGTATTTAAAGTCAACATATCACCGCCTATAACAGCATAGAAAATTTTCCAAGGACCAATTCACAGCATACAAATATAAGTGTCAAGAACCCAAGAGAAATACAAACACTTTGCAGTGCCCTAAAGTAACTGATTCAAAGCATTTCAGGGATGTTGTAGGAACCATTCGATAAGCAAAAAATATACAATGTATTTCTTGCACTCGGCAAACATACTGTGTAAGTACCTTTCTTTCACTGAGGGATGGCTTTGCCGAACCAATATTTAGCCCTCTGTACACCTGGCAATGGTAAAAACAAGATTTCACCACTAATACTACAAATGCATGCACTACAAAGTAAACCAACACTACACAATTCTCATATTTACAATAAAAAATTCTTGAATTAATTTCCCTTGGTTTAACTCTATCAATTAGAAAAATCGAATTTAGGAGCCAAAAGGAGTGAGAAATTTACAAACTTGTACTGAGTCCGCACTAATGATTTCTCCATTGAGTTGCTTTGCAAGATCGATTGCAAGCTTGCTTTTCCCAGCACCAGTGGGTCCAGATATCACAATTACCTTCTCCTTCTTTGTTGTCGTTTTGGTGGAGGTGGAGCAAGAGGTAGCGAATAATCTGTGGCCACCCCCATAGGAGCAGAAGTCATAGGGGCAGATAAAAGGCGTTTCAACTCTGTACAATAGGCGAAAGCAGCTCATCCGGATACTTTCTCTTAGCATTTGATACAGGTATACTAGTAGAGCATTGACGTTCTATTTGTTAGGAGTAAATAATGTATTTAGAACTTCTCAACTCAACATGTCAGCATGCTAATAACTATCGTAGTGATATGACCAAGCACAAACATTAGACATTATGGTTAAGATGTCAAAATTTCAAACATGAGTGCACACACAATTTTTAGATGTTAAATGCGTTGAAACCGGAGTTACCAGAAACAAAATACACTGGTTTGTCATACGCAAAAGAGAAAGTGGTACATTACTTTTATTTTTCATTACTATGCTTCATTGGAACTCTCATGTGAGTTCTAGTACATCAACCTTGGTTCAATAATAAATAAAATAGTTGTCTAAGAATACTTCCTAAGATTGCTGCAAAACGTAACATCAAAGAACTTTTTTCGGTCATCTTTTTCTCCTAAAATAACACTTCAGCTGAGTTGCTCAAATTACATAAACTTCTCATAGACACGGTACGGTTTGGGTCACCTAAAATTTATAGTTTGAACCGACCTTCACCCTGCCTGTTTGAAAGGGACCGATTCTGCGGGTCAACTGGTCCAAACCTAGCATAACTAAATATTTATATACAATGAGACATGGTCTAAATCAAAATTTCAAATGAAAAAATTGAAATGCAGTAGCCAGTGCCCAGTAGGTATATATATACTACTCTGTATATACTGCACATCAAATTAGCACACCAGTATAACTCATAGAAGTGCAGTAGCATGCATATTGATACTCAGTATAACTCATATAAGTCCAAATCTCCAATAAACTAGGTACAAAAGAACTCGCACAAGTAAATTCAAAATCAAGAATAGTACCTCGTAGGTTATAATACTGTTAATTACTTGAAATTAGTATTTTAAAATGAAAATCAACCCAAAATTAAAACCTCAACCACGGTGATGATCAATCAGAACTCAAAACAAATGCCAAATATGGCAGAATTTAATAATTTAATACCTGGAAGAGTAAGGGGCACTGACGATGATGGGGCGGCACTGGCGTGGCGAAGATTGAAAAAGCCTAACCTGGTCAGAGATGATTTCCTTGAGCGAAGACTCGAAGCCTGTAATCTTTGAAACCTAGGGAGCAAGAAGGAGAAGGGAGATGTGTTTGTTTAAAGAAAATATTTTTTGAAAACAATATTATCTGCGAAAATAATTTTTTAGAAAAAAAATTCTTCTTTCATTATTTGGTAGGAAGGAGATTATTAAAAAAAATATGACAAAGTAATTATGAAGATTTTAAATTTGATAAAGGTTTTAAAGATACTTTTAAACGATTTTAGCAGCGTAAAAGCGAGCAACGTAAAGTAATAGTGTAAGCGCGATGTAGATGAATGAAGGAGGCGGATAAAGCGGGTTGGCGAGTGGAGGAAGATAATGGAGCGTCAAGGTAGGATTGTAAACGAATCGAATCGAAGGGAATATCGTAATATTTGAATTTGTATTTGATTAATTTTTTTCGAATACAAAAATGAACGAATCAAAAATAAGATTTGTATTTGTATTTGATTAATATTCGAATAGTTGATTCCAAATGAATATCTGAATAATCATACTTCGTAATTTATATGTCGATTTTGAATAATTTAACTTCCAATATTTCTTATACCATATCTAAGAACATTAATACATCTGTCTCTTACACAAATTATATTTTATAAAATATAATATTAAAATTTACATGCTTTAAATTTTTGTAATACGTTAATACGAAGAAATCTTTCCAGGTGAATAGCACTCATAATGGTTTAAATGAACTATGGATTTTGCATTTTATATCCTTAACAACAGGGAGTACTTTTTTTTTTGTCTAAGACTGACTGAATTTTCAATTTTTTTTCTTCAACTCGTTAAGAGCACTAAAGTCTCCTCCCTTTTGTTTCTTTTTTCATCCAAAAAGGGAGAACGGGATTCTGGACCTTTGGGTAGCAGTTTTAATCACTCCTATTTTTGAATTGTATGATTATTGAATTTAGTTAGAAATATTTTGATTGATTACATCTTGTGTTCATATGATTCGCTTTTGTATTTCTCTTTATCTTCTTGTTTCGCTCTGCGATTTGTTTCTCTTATGATTTGTTTTGTCATTTTACTGTTTCTCTTTATAATCTGTTTTGTCATTATCTTGTTTCATAAATATCAAATAGTGTTGTTCTTTGTAACATACTGTTGACTATTGTAAAATATATCAATATCATCATGGTTGATTGACAACAAAACATTAAAAGAAAAAGAGGGTTTGAGCAATATAATGGACAAACCAAGAGAGTGATGTACTATTAGAGCTCATGGTAGATGCCGCCGCTCAAGGATGGCGTGATAATAGTGGCATTCTTCCTAAGCAAACTGTGGAACAAAGGATACTTCATGTTCTTGATAGAAAATTTGGGTGTCACAAGAACTATCTCAATTAACAAAGTCGATTGAAGTGGTTTAAAAATAAATAGAGATTTTATTCCGAACTCATGCGTTTAGCTGTGGTTCTGGGTTTGATTCCACTACAAAAAGGTTCACTGCATCTGATGAAATATGGGATGATTATTTTAAGGTAATCTTCTTTAGTACTCTATGAAAAATTATTCTAATAAATGAATCTCTTGAAAGATGTAATGAAATAATAAATCTATAATTTTTTTATAGGCTCACCCAAAGGATCACACCGAATTATGTTATGGAACATTTCAGATTTACGAGGACATGGAAATTGCAATTGGGAACGGTGTAGCTATTGATAAAAAATCAATCGGGTTGGGTAGTACTACCGATGCAAGAACATTAGGTGTTGGAGAAGGCAGAGATGTGCATAGAGAAGACCTTGATTATGATTTGGAAAATCATGCATTCATAAACCAATCTCAAAGTGATCCACCTATTCACTCATCACCGCTCCAATCTCCTGGAACTCATGAGGTTCCCATGCAAAAAGCAACCCAAGCTAAAAGAAATAGAAGTGCTTATGAAGAAAATGACATTATGGAAAGGCTAAATGAAATATCCACGAGCTTTCAAAGAATCTATAATCTATTAGAGATAGAGAAAAGAGAAAGAGAAAGAGAATATACAATATGGGATGCCATCAAGGATACACCAAGCTTAGATGAAGATACCCAAATTAAGGTAGTTGAGTTGCTTGACACCAAAGGAAAAAAGACGTGTTCTTGAAGATGTCACTTGAAGAATGGTTAAATTTGATACGCCATAAAATGAGAGAATAAAATGAGAAGATATATTACGAGTAATGCAGGGCGACGAAACAAGAAAAAGGCCCTAAAAGTCTTATCTTTAATGGTCTAAAAAATTCACATATGTAAACTAATTATATTTAAATCATAATTAACGCAATATTATTAGAAGAAAAAAATAAATGACAAAATTATAGTATTATAATTACATATCGTAAAAGCTAGCCGAGGATTCAAGAAGTTCTCCTTGCATTCTTGAGACCAAATTGGTAGATCACATCTTCACAGTCTATGCTCTCTAAGATTTCATTCTTGATAGCTATTACCGCCAATCCTCTAAGTCTTTCATAAATTCTACTAAGTAAAATCAAGAATAAAAAACTGAAAAAAGCAAGCAAATAAATAAATCAATAAATCATAAATTAATATCAATTCGTCAATTTTTCTTTTTAATTGTTTTTTCTTTTTCAGTTTTAATTTTTTTTATAAATCATATATTCATATCTATTCATTATCAGTTTTTAATTTTTTTCCCCGGTTTCAGTTTTTTTAACATAAATATATCATTATCATAAATAACAAATTCAAATCAATTCATCCAAATCAAATAAATAACATATAGAACCATTCATTCATTCTATTTCAAAGAATGAAATTAGAAAAGATTTCAAATTAAAAACTAATAATTAACCCTAGATTTTAAATCTGAAAAATGAAACAATTAAAGAAAATTAAGATTTAAGAAATAAAAATTACAAAATTGGAAAGGACTAATTACCTGGAGGGTTGGAGGGTGGAGCCGTGCAGGTCGGCGACTCGGCGTCTGGCGGTGGAGGCGGCCGGCGGCGACTGGGCTCTCTTCTTTCTTCCGGTCTTTCTTCGATCGGCACTTCGGCAGCTTTTCTTCCGTTTTCTTTTTCTAGGTAAGGATTTGAGTATGGACTGGGCTTGGGCTAATAATTAAGTGATGGGTCATGAGTAAACTGGGCCTGGGTTTATAAACATATACGGAGTATATATAATACTTTAAAAAATATTGTGCCCCTTAACTTTTTGGGCCCGGCCCGGACGGATGGAAGAGTAATATTTATGTGACTTTATTTTGAATGTGTTATGTAATTTTATTTTTGTTGAGAGTTTAGAATACTTGTGGTTTATTAATTTGTTTTAAAATATGTTTGGTTTAAATTATGTTTAGTTATATGTTGGTGTTGAGCTTAATAATAATAATAATAATAATTTAAAAATAATTTATTTTTAGTTTATTATATTATTTTTAGAGTTTTTGGTCAATTTCATAAGTAATAATTAATGTTAGGACTATGTATAGATTTTTAAAATAATTCAAATTTATATATAAATAATCCATTGATAATAAAGAGTCTATCACAATCTTATAAAATCATGCTAACAAAATACATTAAAATTTATCTAACTCTGCATCGATTTTAAATAATCCATTGACTTTACAGAATGCATGGATTCAAAATAATATGTCAGAATCTTTAAAAATCTGGATTGAATGCACCCCACATAGGTTAAGAAAAAATTAATTGGCGGCCAAACCCAGCAGCCGAACGCAATATTACCGAAGCTTCAACAATAGAAGGAGAGATAAAAAAAATCATTACCGAACACTAAAGCAAAAAAATCATTACGTTGATCAAAAAACACTGCCAACCTTAAAAAAACACACTGCAAAAAACCTAAGGTAAACACATACGTTTTTGTAGTGAACCTTCAAAAACACACACTGCCAACCTAAGGGAAACAAAAAAAAATTTATCTAAAACCACCAAAATTTCATTGCAGTGAGGTGATTTGAATCGCCTATAACCACAAAAAGTTACTAGTAATCAATTCACAACAAAAACTTATTTGGCCGATTAAGTTACTATGATGCCAAAACTACTACTCAATCGAAATTTCATTTTCCCTTATGCAGGCGTGGGTTATTTTTCACGAGGCAGTTCAATTGGAAACTTTGTGTGAGTAAATTTTTTGGAAGTGAATTCACTGCCAAAACGAAGCATACATGTATCTTCTCGAATCTTTTGCTTAGAGGAATTTTTTCCAGCACATCATCGCTTGCCATTGAAACCCTGCGTCTCCTTCCCGACGCGTTCGGCCGTGTGACTTTAGAGGAATCGTCCGAGGACCGAACACAATATTACTGAAGCTTCAACAACGTAATGATCGCGGGCAAACGGAAGGAGAGATCGTGGAGTTCAACAATGTGCGGGCGAACGAAATGAGAGATTGAAGTTGAATGCCGTAATTTTTAATGGAAAAAAAAAGAAAAAGGGGTAAAGGGTATGATAGGAAAGGATTGACACCATAAATCGCTAAGTTTGTTAAAAAGAATGAGTAGTGCTAAATGCGTAATTTAGGATGAGTTAGAGTGCTATGTAGGGTGATTTCATTGGATACTCTCATATTTTAGAATCCAAAAAAAAAATCACTCTCTTCGTCCCATATCTTTCTTCTCGTTGCGCAAAATGAAGAAAACCCTAAGTTTTTTAAATATATTTTATTTAAATATTGGTATAGAAATAAATAATAAAATTTGTATAAGTTTAATAAAACAAGTCGTGATAAAAATATATAATTTTATCATATATGTCATGAAAAAGTAAAAATAAATAAAAAATTTCTTCAAGTTGGAATAGTGTTCGTAGAAGAAAGATACTCCATCCGTCCGGATTTTAAGTTCTCAGTCTACGCTTTTTTACGTCCGGAAATAAAGTTCCCATTATACGTTTTCATACACACTCTCCCTAAAATACCCTTCATCTTCCCTTCTTTTTTTCCCATTTCTTTCTTCTTTTTCTTCTTTCTACCTTTTCCTTTCTCCGCCACACCAGGTTTGGTCTCTCTCTCTTCCCCCTCCCCCTTTTACTTCTCCTCCCCGTTTTCTTCCTCCTCCTCCTCCCCCTTCTTCTTCTTCTTCTTCTTTCTCCCCTTTCTTTTCTTGACTAGATCTAGTCATCATCTTCCCTTTCTCTCCCCCTCCCCCTTCTCCTCTTTTTCTTTGTTTCATTCTTTTTCTTGAAGCCCATTATTTTTTTTCAAATCTGGAAGAACGCGATTTGTCATGTTGTTCTTTGATCCTGCGCAGATCAGAGAAGAGGATTCGATTGAAGTCGTGCAGAGGAGTCAATTGAAGTCTGTACTCCATATGAGCAGGGGAGTTAATTCTTGAACTCAAATTAATTTGTGGAGAGGATTCAACTCTTGAAGCCCCAAAGTGGTTTGAATCGAGAAGTCAATTGAAATTGTGCCCTTCTTCGATCCTGTGCAGAGAAGATTTTATGCCACTGTTGTGGGGATCTGGAGATCCATTTCCGTAGAAATAGATTTAGGGCGGAGATTCGCCTTTGTTCCATCGGAAAAAAATGCAGGCAGAGTAAATTGAAATTGGACTTGTGCAACAGAGAAAGCTAGGGGTATTTTGGACAAATTGTACACAAAATCAACTTTCCATAAAAAAGACCAAAAGTCAAAGAGAACTTAAAATCCAGAAGCGGGAGTACTAGCGGACATAGAATCCACTTTTTGGTCAATTCATTTTCGTTCATTCTCTCGTCTAGTCATCTCTTTCCCATTTCTTTGTTTTCTCTTTACTGCGCATTCCCGCCACCTTCTCCATCTCCGGGACTCCATCTGAAGATCGGCGGTAGGTTTGGATTTTTCTTTTAGCGATTCCAATCTCTCTACACCCTCTCTCTCTCTCTCTCTTATAATATCTCTCTTTTTTTTCCCTTTCGGGTTGCTTCGTTCCCGTATTTGGAGTCTAAGATTTGGACTCCATTCTTCGATTGGGCGTGAATCGGAATCTCCAGATGACATCTGGATCGTCCAGGAGAAGCATGGCTCCGTTCCAGGGAAAGAAGAAGACAGGGGAGAACGAAGTAGGGCCGGCCGATTCAGTCTCCAGGAAGTCTTTTCCTTTGACTCGCTCCATGTGCGAATCTCTCTCCCTTCGTATTGATTACTGATGTGATGCTAGTATTTGCAGAACTAACTGCTGGGACTATAATTACATATAACTGAGTTGCACATATTTACGAATTAATAGTCTTTTGATCTTTTTTTAAACTTTTCTTCGTATATATCCTGTTTTGGTTGTTAAGTTCATGAGATTTGGTTGGTTTAATATATATAAAGTAGATGATGCTTCAAAATGCAGAATATTGAAAAACATGGAAGTTTCAATGTATTGGACACATCCAAAAGGACTCAAAATAACTCACTTGCGCCTATAACCTAGAAATAAAGGGGCTGTTTGATATGGTTATTGGGGTGTTTGCCTGTTTGGATGACAGCCATAATGCTATAGAAGTCTAGAGTCACTTCAGAGAATTAGTCCGTGGTTTTCAAGATCCTAGTATAAAATCCACAATCATGGAACCTGTTGTTGTCTCTGTGATCACCATCTGGACATGGATCTCAAACAAGCGAGATCTGAAGCATATTTTGATTTTTCTGTGTGATCATCGGGTCGGTTCGGTCGGTTTCGGGTCAAAACCGAACTAACCAAATTGTTTTTTACTATCTAAAAACCGACCAAAACCGACCGATATAATTGGACAACCGAAAAAAAACGAAACCGTTTTAACCGAACAGTTTCGGTCGGTTATTATAAACCGAACTACATATACAAAAAATAGGCAATGGTGTGGGGAAATTGGGTTTTGCATAGCAAAACAATATTAAGTAGAGAGGCTGGGGAAAGATGATTGGAAGCATAATAATCAAATAATGAATAGAGGAAAAAAATTGAGATGCCGATGGGGATTAGGGAGCACATACCGGAAATGACGTCGTCTGGGCTAAGAACTTCCCATGGCAGCAGCAACGATGGCCAATTGGTCGATGATGGTGACTGGCGAGAGGCGAGGCAGAGCAGCAGGAAACGGAGAAGAAGTGAAGAACTGATGAATGGTGATAGTGACGAGGGAGGATAGGGTTTTTTGGTTTTCTAACTTTGTGGACTTGTGGTGACGGTGGTGTAGTGTGTCCACTAGAATTTTGGATTGCTTAGGATTGGGTATTTTCTATTTGGGTTGCTTAGGATTGGATATTTAATTTGGATTGGGTATTTGCCATATGGGATTTGCTTTTCGGGCTGGGTAATAGACTAATAGTTCGGTTATTCGGTCGGGTTTAATGATTCAAGCCCAAACCCGAAAACCGACCGATTAACCGGATTAACCGACTCTTAAGACACCAACTAACCGAAACCGAAACTGAAAATTTCGGGCGGTTCGGTTTTTTACCTCGGTTGCACGGTCGGTTCGGATAATATGCTCACTCCTAGTGATCGTAAGATCTATGATCCGATTTCATCTTCTTTGTGCATTTGAGATCCATATCTAGATCTTTGTTGGAGAGACAATATATCACAAAATCTTGGGATCTGGGGACTTAATTGGGATCTTGATGACAATGCAAAACATGTATGGAGTAATTAGAATCTAAGTTATAGTTTTGGATACCGAGGGTAACTTTCGGTTGTTTCAGTCAATGACTGCAAGTCTGAAACTGTGAGTGGAAAACCACATTTTAACCCAAAAGATTAGTGCTTTCAAAAACTAATGATCAGGGACCATTCAAAAACCAAAGTTTTCTGTTGATTTTGTCTGTGGGTTTCAGTTTTCTTGGTTTACTTGATTATTTGCTCTCTCATATGGAGAGAAGACAATAAAAATGGTTAAAGTGCTTATATAGTTGTATGTTTTGTTATTAAATTTCCACTCTATCGATATCCTTGTAAATCAAAGTTCATCGAGACCTTATTCATTTGGGTAGCAAAATGCAGTAGGCATAGTTGGTAAGGGGGCAAGGATTCAAAGCGCTGGGCACACTTGAGGTGTGTGTCTCTCGTGCATGAGGCGGGCACTTCGTAATAACAGAGATTAAAATTTTGCCAGTAAATTTAGATTATTTTTCTTGAAAGAAGAGCTACACTCAGAAGGGCCTAGGTGTGCTGGTGGGAATTAAATAAGGTGACTGGCTGGGCCGACAGAGGTAGGGGAAAGTGGTTGGTTCACTTGGTTGGGCTGACAGAGGGTCAAGATGACCATTGCATGGTGGAATCGGCCTCATTAGTCACACAAGCTGCATTTCAATTTAGTGATGATATATGTTTTCGAAGTAAAGAGTTGCATTAAAATGTGAAAGGAGATTATGTTTTTGATGGAAAAGCTTCATTAAAATGTCAAGTATCTATCAGAACCTGAAGACCTGGGATGTATAAGTCTAATTAATTGGATGGTATTTGAAGGAAGTTGGATTCATTTGAGTATGATGCATTGTACCATGATTCTTCTGGCAGTTTTTGCAAAAAACTTGAACTGTTCATTGTTATGTTTTTATAAACTGTTGGATTTGCATTTTGCTAATCAAATTGAATAAACTACATAGGTTTGATTTTTTATTTAAATAAGTTTTCTTATATGTGTGGGAAATGAGAATGCACATCCTATTACCATTACTATGTATTGCTTCCATGTACTCACTAATCATTTACTTTATTGCAACAAGAAGTCAAAAGCTTCAATCTTTATCATTCAGATTTTCCTATCAATATCTTTTCAAAATTTGTGTCACGTACTGTTTCTTTTTTTTTTCTTTATCTATTTTTGCTTGCATTTTTCATCTTTTTATTTAAATAATAACTTTAATTTCTGCCTAAAGTTAAATATAGTGTTTTGATTTTATTACTTGTTTGAAAAAGTTGCATTTGGATGGCTAGATGCCATCATTTCGTGTTGTGATTTATGAGTGAAAAGAACTATCAATATTTAAACTGTTCAATTTCAACACTGCATCACATCTGACTGTTAGACCTTAGAACTAATCTTAATACTCAACTTGTGAGACTGAAATCTGATAGGATTATATCAATTACTATGCAATAAGTTAATTAAATTTTGTTACTTTTCCGGCTGTAATAAATTCTTGTTCTTTTAGTCATTCGTCAAACCAGCTTTTATTTCCTCAGTTGTCCCTGTAACATCATAGTAGTTGAGAGACTATTCAAAGCTTTAACAATGGCTTACAGAACTATGGTGTCCTTGATGAAGATTGACTATTAAGTCTAGGATGCACTTGATGAAGATGCGATATGGACATTGTTTTTCTTAGTAAAAACTAGCTGTAAAAAAAATCAAAAGCATGTTTTAGATCATCCTTAATTTATACACAGTACTTCCTTTTACAAGCTTAAACTTCAAAACATAGACTGTAAGTGTAACATAGCCCAAAGCACCTCGATGTTTATGGTTTACTCCTGGTATTAATATCAGTTGTTTTTAGTTTAATAAGTGAATAACTTGTTGCAGAGGACCGACAGGAGAGCGGACAGTGAAGAGATTGCGGTTGTCAAAAGCCCTCACAGTACCTGAAACAACAAGCGTATATGAAGCATGCCGCCGTATGGCTGCCCGTAGGGTTGATGCTTTATTGCTTATTGACTCAAATGCATTATTATGTGGGATCTTGACTGACAAGGTATGACTTGAATCATTTCCGGTGCAACAGCATTATATCTTCTTTTTAAGTACACGACATGAGGAAATTTGTCCTAAAAACTCCGCGATATATTTTTTGCATGAATTGATACAAATTAAATTTAGATAATTTATTAATTGTCTATATAACTTAATTCCAATCAAACAAACCCTTTTTGCTTTATTAATGATTATCGTACAATTGATTTATATATCTTTTAGTAATTCTTTATCTCTTTGTTAATGTGAATGAAGGATGTAGCAACTAGAGTAATTGCTCACAAGCTTAATGTCAAAGAAACACCCGTTTCTAAGGTTATGACAAGAAACCCAGTATTTGTACTTTCTGACACTCTTTCTGTTGAAGCATTGCAAAAAATGGTGCAAGGTAAGGGTTCTTTGACTTTTATACTAAGAGGTATTGATTGTTTTTTTTCTTTTGCCAAGACAAAGCATTTTGCTTTTGAGTGCAGGAAAATTTAGACATTTGCCCGTTGTGGAAAATGGTGAGGTCATTGCTCTGCTTGACATAGCAAAGTGTCTGTATGATGCTATTTCTCGCTTGGAAAGGGCATCTGAGAAAGGAAAGGCTATTGTAGATGCAGTTGAAGGCGTTGAAAAGCATTGGGGCGCATCTGTGTCTGGTTCGTTATGAACATTGTTCTAAAAGACGGGTTAAGCCCAAAAGTTGGTGTGGGTGACTGGGTGGCTCAGATGGGGCTAGGTGGGGTTTGTTATAATGTTTTAAACAATTATTTTAGCAAAAAGGACCTATTTCATTTAAACACTTTTTTATACTAGACAATAGTAAGTCAATAATAGACATGTACAACTGTATTACATAAATTGTGATTTTTTAATAATGTAATCTTTTTTTTGTTAATGTTAATTTATAACTCATTTCATGCACAATATTTTATTATATGATCACATAGACATATTAATTTAAATGCACTCATTTATATAAAACAGAGTATTTTTCTAAAAGTCAAATATACATTGAAATGTTAATTTATAACTCATTTCATGCACATTATTTTATTATATGATCACATAGACATATTAATTTAAATGCACTCATTTATAGAATACAGAGTATTTTTCTAAAAGTCAAATATACATTGAAATTATGTTAGACAGTTATCATATTCTATTTTTAAAAACCTCGACAATAATAAAAAAACACAAATATATATATGTGTGTGTGTGTGTGTGTTTTGCCAATTTTAAGCAGCACCTAGATGCCGCCTAGGTGGTCTAGGTGCTAGACGGCCCTCTACTGCTCGCCTGGCACCCATCTCCTTCTATAACACTGGTTATGAATGATAACCTTATTATTAGCCTTTCAGGCATTTTGTTATTCATGATATTTATGCTGTTTTTTTCCAACTGTTGCCTCTATTATAATTCTAAGTAATGAATTCTTTTGCATGCTTCCTTAATGCAGGCAATACATTTATCGAAACACTGCGAGAGCGGATGTTTAGACCCTCATTGCGTACAGTTATCCCAGAAAATTCAAAGTAGGTAATATCCTTACTATTTTCCATCAGGTGTGTGCTATGGTCCAGTTAACTATTTGTGATGTCTATATCGCGTGGCTTATCTCATGATGGTTGCTAGGATTGTTACTGTTGAACCAAGTGAGACTGTTGTAGATGCCGCAATGAAAATGCTTGACAGTGGATTAAGCTCTGCTGTTGTAACAGTTGACAGAAAACCACTCGGGATTCTCACGTGAGTTCTTTTCAGGCATACTCCTTGGTGATTCCCTCTATTATTTTTATTCAGTACTCCGTTAGTAACAACATGCTTAAATGCCTAACTGACTCCCTAATATTTTTAGTTCAAAAGACATCTTGATGAGAGTCATAGCACCAGATCTTGCTCCTGAGTCCACTGCAGTGGAGAAAGTATCTCTCTTTCGCTCATTACTAATTCAATGCTATCTGTTCTGAATATGAGCTACTGATAGTCTTTAATTCTTTATACACTACTTCTATCTATGTAATTGGTATGATCTTTTTTTCATTAGGCTCCATTTGCGAATGCGCAAAATGACTTAGGGAAAATGGATTCTGCATAATAACTCATTTTCCAATAGCCATTTTCCGTTTCATGTGTTTAGCTTAGAGAACGAAAATAAATCATTTCTGTTTATCACATTTTCTGGAAATTACGTCCCTACAACCTGTTGGCAGTAGGCAGTCGGCCCAGCCAGGCAGGGATGGCAGCTAATGTCTTCATTTTTACCAACATTGGCTGTAGACACTAGACAGTCAATGTCTAGCTGATGGCATATGTTTGTGCTACATGTCAATTCTCAGAGGAAGTTTTCCCGAAAAAATTTGGAAGCCTTTTTTTAAATGTCCATGTTTTTCTTTGACTAATAATCCTTTTTCCTGTTTGACTGATTTTCTATTCAGGTGTTGAATGTAGGAACATATAATTGTCATTTTTTGCCTTTGCGAACGGGCTCTTATTTTGGTGAAATTGTTCAAACACCACCAACCAAGGATTTCAGCTCATTTATGACATGGAATTCTCCTTCCAATGACTGTTTAGTTACTTAGTATTTTAGATTTGTCCCGTTGTTCAAAGACCAACGTGTTTCTCTATTCGCATATTTTGTGCTTGATTATTTAAACCACGGCAACTATGCTTCAAATCTCAAGCTTTTTATTACATGGATTTTTCCTTAAATTCCAGGTCATGACCCCTAATCCAGAATGTGCAAGTGTTGATACATCTATTGTTGATGCTTTACATATAATGCATGATGGCAAGTTTTTACATCTTCCGGTTGTTGATACAGGTAAAAGCTTCTTCAAGGCATGCAATATTTTTGATAAATTAGTGTTATTTTCCTTGCCTTTTAATTTACAATCGGTTGCAGATGGAGCAGTTGTTTCCGTTGTCGATGTGCTTCATATCACTCATGCAGCTATAACCACGGTATGTCGCTTATCAGTATACATATTCATAGTCTACTATGCACCAGCCATGGATTCAATGATATTTGCAATTGCATTAATCATATACAATGCTATAGAAGTCGCGAGGGGCCCAGATGAGCGCAATACTCATTAAATGCTTAGTATCATGTGTCTCATGGACACAGTTTTCAGCTTTGAAAAACCAATAATTCAAGTGACTACCAAATCAATGGCATTAGATAAAATTAAAAGGAAGGCATTTTTTTTGTTCCTTTCACCCTCTTCTGCCCTTTTCTGACATTTTTGCTGCTCTTTTTTTCCACTATTGCACAACCTTCAGTACTTGCATGGGGTCTTCATGGAAACTACGTTGCTTTGGAGTTGCGGTACCATACTTCTAAGTGGTAGATACTAGCTATGGTTTGATTTGGTTATTAATTATTTTACTAATTGGGACAAATAAAAAATTGGACATCCCAAAATAGAAAAAGAGACCACATCTTTAGGATGGAGTGGGTATTCTTTTGATTAGTCTCTCTATACAAATACCAACAATGTTCACTTTACCATTGAAAAAATGGAACAGGATATAGCAAGCTTTCCAACTATTATAGAAATAGCAAGTGGGCTGTTCAACAATAACAAAGCTCAAGTGGACACTCCACAGAGAAAAATCAAATTCAACCATACTAACCTATGATAGTAGGTAACCATTATGCCACCTGCAGAGCAATGCTACGTCACCACCAACAACACAAATACTTTCCTAAAGTTGAAGCCATGTCATCATGTCCTCCCAATTTTTTCCCTTTTTCATTCTTTTGTACTGTACATGACCTGCATGTAGAGTCCAAGGTGAGTTGTTACAGCATCTCTTATTACTACCCAACTGTGGGTACGTAAACAGAATATATGCTGTGGCACCACCTCAACAAGAGTCACCATTCTGCTCTGCCACTCTCGACTTTCTTGCCAAGTATGCACCCTTCACCTCCATTCCTACCAGTACAGCCTCTGCAGAGTATTACTCCGTCGATGATGTCGTCTACCAGAGGAGCTCCAGTAGTCTGCTCGACATGCAGCACAATCTGGAAGCATTGAGGCAATTTGAAAGGACTATGTAAAATATCCTTGTCCTCTTCTGGTAGGAAAAATGACCTGGCCGTGTGGGTCGGGTTTCTAGTCCATGTAAAAATGGGTGTTGCTGGAAATTAACAATGGTGTGATCATCAAGGCCTTTAATGGAAATGCATGTATTTTGAGAGCCTTGAGATTTGGGAAGAAGTATCTAAACATGAATGATTCGTACAACAAAGAATCAAACCTTACTCGAAAACACCTAAATATTAGTAAATATTTTAGTTATTTAAACTTGTTTGATTACATAAACGTTTTTGCAGAAAAGAGTCAATCCCTTGACAAATGACAATTTATTTGTTTGAGTATATTCCAAATACCAATAAACAATGTCTGTTTGGAACTTCGGAATTGTATTGCGTTTTGGTTTTTAATTTTAATTTGATTCGCACTTTGGATTATTGGGTTATTAGTAGGTCGTGTATGTAATATGATGTGCATCTTATCTCACTACATATGAATGTTTATTAGTATGTCATGTATGTAATATGTAATATGCTGGTTAAACTGTTACACAGAAGAATATAAACAATTCTGTTTAACATGAAGAGAAATAAATCTTGTGTGATAAATTGACAACTTTATATGTCAAATCATTGATTCTTTTCTCGTTTAAATAGGTAGGAAATACTGCTGATGTGAATAATGAAGCTACCAATTCAATGATGCAAAAATTTTGGGATTCTGCCATGGAACTGGCTCCTGGTGATGATGAAGAGACACGTAGGTTGTCGTCTGCTTTTTCTATTTGCTCCCTTCGTCTTCCATTTTTCTAATTCTTTTCTTTTTCTCATATTTCTGTTATGGTGTACCAGTGACAGTTCTCTGAAAATGGCTTCGGAAGGAACACAGACAGGAAGAGCTCTTCCAGTTCCTTCATCAAACCTGCCAACTACTTTTGCTTTTAAAATTCAAGATAAAAAGGGAGGGATGCACAGATTTACATGCGGTATGTCTTCAAATGATTCTCATGTCGTGAAACATAAAATTGAAGTGACGCCATACGCTAAAAATTTGATAAATGATTGGTAACATGATTACCGTAGCATCCTTCCTTAGAGCTATATTTTCCTCATTTGTGATTTGTGATGGCCAAGGTAGTCAAGATCGCATTTTAGCTCATAAAATCACATCAGACTTTACGTGTCATTTGGTTAATTGTGATTCAGATTGCAGAATCAGATAGCTCCCTAGGTAGTATAGGCGTACTTTCACATAAAATGCTTGGATCGCACGACTTTTGCAATCCATTTATCCTGATATACCTTTTCCGGTTAAGAAGAAAACTATGCCAATATGGATTTGAGAGGATTATGCAAATTGCCAGAAGTACTTAAGTCGCACCTCTTCCATTTCCAAGGTCAATCAACAATGTCAATACTCTTTCATGTCGGCTTCTACTTCACACTCTCTAGTTTGAACTTTTCTTTCACTCTCTGTCGAGTTCTCTCTCTAGCATCGAAGGAGAATATTTCTTCTCCTTTCCCCCGGGTGTGGGTTCTGTCTTTTTTTGTCTTCTGTAGCTTAATTGAACTTAGCAGGCATGCAATCTGATATATTTAAGCTTGGGTTTGGAAAGGGAGGGGAGTGGACTGGTCGAGTATATGGAGGAGGATGAAGGGTTGATTTTTAAGATGGTTTAAAGGCATAAGAATAGGGGAGAAAAAGGGGGATACTGGTTGTGCTTTTTAGGAGGGCCGAAAATTTGGAAGGGAAAATAAGAGGGGAAAAGGGATAAAAACCAAGTAGGTTTTAAGAGATATAACACACTCTTATCCTCACTTGGGGTTTGAGTCTAGAATTTAATTAAGATATTACACACTCAATTAAATAACTAGAACCTAACACTCACACTTAAGGAAACCAACCTTAAGATATAGAAATTAGGATTTGAAAACAGAATACAACCAGTGTATTTCTATCTTGAAATGAAGAATAAAAATCTGAGCATTACAATAGGCCTATGGCCGAAATTTAAAGGCACTCATACAAAGGAAAATACTAAGCTATTTCTTCCACAAATCCTAGAAAATGCAGTCATGTGCTTGAGTCCTTTCATGGAATAAAATCAGGGAAAATGGGGACAGGGATTCATGAATGAATATTCATGAATGGAAGGGGATTTTCGGCCATATTAGAGGGCAAAATGGATGGGTGATGTGTTGGGTATTTTGGCTTGGCTAGTGAGGTGAATATTTGGTGGTTGGGGAGTGATTCATTCTGCCATAGTGGGGGACAGTGGGGTGTGAGAAATATGGCTTTTATAGGGTGGCTTTTATGGTGGT